ACGTTAGACAGAGTGGCATCTTGAACTCCCGAGAAACCTCAATGAGCTTGGTTATCGTGTGGATATGGTCGATGGTGCTGAATCCTTTGCGGAACCCGACTTGCTCGCATGGTTGTCCTTCATCTAGTGTTCTGACAATCCTATTTAGGATGACTCGAGTGAACAACTTGTAAATGACAGACAGTACGCAGATCGGCGATAGTTGCCAATGTCATGGATGTCTCCCTTCTTGAACAGTAGTACAGTCCTGTTGGTTTTCCATTGGGACGGAACTTTGCATTCAGATAGGTAGCGTGTGAAGTGCTGAGCCAGTGTATTGTTAAGTACTGATGGCAGGTTCTTCAGGTGTTCAGGTCTGACCTTGTCTGTGCTGGGTGCTGTTTGTTTCTTTACCGACAAAATGGCGTGTCAGATTTCGGAAGTGAGAACGTTGGGAATGACATATCCATCCTGTGGAATTTGGTATGTCGACAAGTGGACATGGCTCTCGAAGAGATTTGAGTAGAAGTCATGGATAATCTTCTCCATTGCCGTTCTGGAGGATGTGATAGATCCATCAGGACGTCGGAGGGCAGTCATCTTGGTCTTGTAGTTGGCGAAGGACAGGCGGGCGTTATGAATACTTTTCCTGGCTTCTGCCGCATCTACCAGCACTTCTGCTCTTCTCTCTTTGAGGTCTTCCTTGATCGCATCTCTGCACTGCTTTGCGAGCTCGGACATTCGCTTGTGGTTGCCTGAGGGATGTGCCAAACCACGCTGGCGAATAAGCTCAAGAGTTTTCGAAGACAGGCCTTTTTTTGTGGCTATATCTCTCTTGGCGTTCCTCGCACAGTCATGGAGGTGCTGAACCAGTCGATCATATTCCTCGTCAATGTTGTCAACAATGGCATCTTCCCATGTTGCCGCAATAGTGCCAAAGAGCTCCCAGTTGGTGGTCGTTCTGGGAATTCTCTTTTTAAACTTTGCAGCCCTTTCTTCCCGCTCTGTGAAGTAGAATTTTGCACGAAGGAGGTGGTGGTCCGATCTCGTTCGGAATTTTGGGACAACAGTGACATCGGTCAGGCAAAACCGTCAATTGAATATGATGTGGTCTATTTCGTTGTGGAATCGTCCACTGGGAGACTCCCATGTCCAATGTTTAGATTCGGCCTTCTGGAACTGTGAGTTACCATGGATGGTCTTGGTCGACATGATGAACTCAGACAGTCTCTCACCCTGTTCGTTCCATTCTAGGCCATGGGTCCCGATGTGAAGTTCTTCAGCTGATCTTCTCGGTCCTATCTTGGCATTAAAATCACCCACAATGATCTTGTAGAAGGTGTGGTCTTCTTTATAGAACTTCTCTAGCTCCATGTAGAACTTCTCGATTTCTCTTTCATCATAATGAGATGTTGGTGCGTAGACAACGAAGATAGAAACTGCCGGCAGTGAGCCACATCTATTCAAATGTAAACATTCGATTCAGGTTGATAGGCATTCGAATGAATCAATGCTCATGGTCAAGTTTGTGTTGACAAGGACACCGACGCCTCCGACACCTCTTTTATCGCATGTTCCGAGGAACAATTCTTCTCCAGTGTCAAAAACAGCATGATGAGATTGGTGCCTTCTTGTCTCGGTCAGACCAATTATGTCGTACTTGATCATTCGCGCTTGTACCATCAGGTCCTCAATGGATGCATCTGATGCTAGCGTACGTGCATTGAAAGTACAGATGATCATTTTTGTCTTCCTTCATTGTGGCAGCCTAGTTCGGCCTTGAGATTTTATCGGCCTCTCCTTTCTCATCCTTCTCAATGCTGCCATGTTGGTCAGGGGAACGAGACCCATTGTAATTACTGGTTTTGTCATATCGAATATACAATGGATAGCTTGCCAGGCTCTGCCGTGCGGGCGGAATACTCTCGGTAGCTTGCTGGGCTTTCCGAGAGGGATAGAGGCTTTTGGGGTGACCTCTAATCGCCCTCGTAGGTGTTACCATATTTGAACCCTATCAAATATGGTACGGCAATTCTGGAAGATGGGTATTTAGTGTCTTATAATGGGTCCAGAAAGCGTCCTGGAGTGTGGCGGCGGCTGGGTAGTGGAGGTAGTGTCGGTAGTGGAGGTCTGCCAGTGAAGTATTTATCTGGTCCCGGTAGGGGTAGGGTGGGTCTTCTGTGCGCAATCCAATCCCTGGGGCTCTGGTGGTTGGTGGAAGCAGACAGGGCAGGGTAGGGTGGGCCTCCTGATTATAATCCCTCTGTCACCTGTGGTTGGTGGGAGCAAGCAGAGAATCTCTGTCCCTGGGTCCATTGAGCCTGGAGTCCAAGGTCTCAGAGAGTTCCTCTTATCTTGTTCTGTGGGTCTTCACAACTACACCCTCCCCCAAGTAATACCATACGATGCTAGTTATATAAAGTTCTTTAGGTGGTGGCTGGGGGGGAGGTTGGAATGATAGAACCGTAGGTTTCAATCCTGGAATCCCATATGGTTCCCCTGACCACCACCAGGAGTAATTCCTGAGTGCAGAGCCAGGAGTAACCCCTGCGCATCGTCAGGTGTGGCCCAAACCTTCCCCCAAATCTCCCAAAAGTTATTTTCTTTGGGGCTAGGGGTTGTTTTTTGGGTCAAGCCCAACGATGCTCAGGAATCACTTCTGGTGGCACTCAGGAGACAATATGGAGTGCAAATCAAGTGGCCTACCCTATCTACTGCACATACTACCCAAACAACCTCTGAGCAATACACCTGCTATGGCCCCCAAACAAAAAAAGCTCTTATGGAATATACTAATATGTGCATTTCATTGGAGGGATAACTACAGTGGGTAGGACCCTTGCCTTGCATGTGATCAACCAGGATTTGATCCCCAGTATTCCATATGGTCCCCAGGCCCCGTCAGGAGTGATCACCGAGCCAGGTGTAAGCCCTGAGCACCTCTGGGTATGGTTCCCCCAAAACCAGAGATACAGTACAGTGGGTAGAGTGCTTACCTTGCATGTGGCAGAGCTGGGTTTGGTCAGTACCCCATATGGTTCTTGAAGCCTGCCACATGATCCCTGAGCACAGAGCCAAGAATAAGCCCTGAGCACAATTCCTTTTGGATTGGTCCAAAAACCAGAAAAAAAATATGTGTGCATGAGACTATTTATTGGAGGGGGCTGAGGAAAGATCCCAAAGGGATGAAGTGCATGCTTTGCCTGCAGAAAGCCTGGGTTCAACCCCGGGCACTGCATGGTCTCCCCAGATATCTCTAGGACTACCAAGCACAGAGTTGGAGTAGCCCCTGAGCACTTCCAGGTGTTTCCCCTAAAAGGAACAAAATACAACAAAAGAAAAATTAATTTAACAAAATAATAAAATACTGTAAATTGTGTGTGCACCAGGATCAAAGTCAGGGTAATGCATACGTGCAGGACCTGTGCTCTAGATGAGTTACATCACTGGGCAAACTGTAAGTTAATATTTACTAAAGTGGGCCAGAGAGATTGAACAGCAGGTAGGGTGCTTGCCTTGCATATGACCAACCCAGGTTTGATCCTTTGCACCCGGGAGTAGTCCCTGAATTCTGAATTCAAAGCTGGCAGCAAGCTGGCACAAAGAACAAAAGATTTTTACTTCAATAAAGTTAGTTTATAAAATGAGAAATGACTTGTGAGGTAGGCAGTACAGTCAGCAGTGCTTTCCAACCTTTCCCATATAGCAGCATCCTGAGAGAATATGTGGAAACGTAGCATTTCTATGTTTCAAACGTAGCACTGTCTTACTCCTTAGATTCTAACCTTAGGGTACTCTGATAGAAAGTTTGCAGCCTGGCTTTGCTATTCTAGAACTGACCCAGAACATCCGTGAGGGACATGCCTGGGAAGTACAAGGTGGTGGTTAACAGAGTGGATTCAGGGGTCAAGCTGATGGGGATGGTGTGGAGGAGGCAGTTCCTGCTCTGCTGACTGTGTGACTGTGTCTCTGCCTGTGTGACTGTGGCAAGGTACCTAGTCTCTTTGTGCCTCCAACTCCTTATCTGTAAAATTAGGTCATAGTAATACCTCAAAAGACTGCTGACGTGATTAGACAAGATACCATAAATAAGTTCCTAGCATCTTCCTGGCATAGACTATTAATCAACTATAACTATCTTCATAGGAGAGGACAAGAGCTATTAGACCACTTAATGAGTACGAAACATTTCCCAGGCATTTTCCTCTTCCAAGTTTCCAAGTTAAGGTTTTTTTCTTTTTGGGTCACACCCTGTGATGCACAGGGGATACTCCTGGCTCTGCACTCAGGAATTAGCCCTGGCAGTGCTCAGGGGACCATATGGGATGCTGGGAATCGAACCTGGGTTGGCCGCGTGCAAGGCAAACACCCTACCCTCTGTGCTATTGCTCCAGCACCCCCCCCCCAAGTTAAGTTTTTATTCTAAAGATATATAGGCTATCTTTAAATCATACACGTGCAAGTTAATATTTACTAAAGTGGGCCAGAGAAAGTGGGTTTTGTTTTACTTTGGGGACTGCATTCAACTGTGCTCAGGGCTTACTCCTGGCTCTGTGTTCAGGGATCATTCCTGGTATGGCCAGGGGACCAAATGCAATGCCAGTGTTCCAGGGATCAAACTAGAGTCAGTCGTGTACAAAACAAGTGCTTTAACTTCTGTACTATTTTTCAGCCCTAAATTTTGTACATCTTAGTATTCTGAACTATAAAAGAATCCCCTGAAGGGACCACCATGGCACCAAGTTGTCCAACATGACTGTAATGGATTTTCACTACACTGATTTGTCCTGGGATATCTTTTTTTCTTGTTTTCTTTGGGGTCACACCGGGCAGTTCTCTAGGCTTACTCCTGGCTCTGCACTCAAGGATCACTCCTGGTAGAGAACGGGGAATCATCTGTGGTGTCTGAAATTGAAACTGGGTCTACTACATGCAAGACAAACCTCTTACTCATTGTACTATTGTTCCAGCCCCCAATGCAGCATTTCTGCATTTAGCTTTGCCATGCCAAGCCTCCTAGTCTTCTGCTTTTCCACGGGAAGCAAAGAGAACATTCAAGGACTGGAGAGACAGTCAAGGTGCTTGCCTTACATGGAGCTCAACCAGCTTTGATCCCTGGCACCAGAAGGTCACCTGAACACCACTGGGACACCTCAGCACAGAGCCAGGTGTGGCCCAAAACTCCCGAAATGAAAAAACAACCTCTAACTCGGGTGTCCTCCTTCCCCCTTTCCTCCTCCCCCTTCTTTCCTTTCCATTCCCTTGGCGCCTTTAATCACCAGGCGGTCTAAGGCTAAGTAGTAGTTTGGCCCACAGTGGGGGGACTTGGAAACCACACCCCTCCTCCTGGGCCCTCCTGGTTATTTGCAGCATCGCAGCACCCTGAGCACAGCACCCTGATCTTCCTCATTGTTGAGATGGGACTGAAGGGGGCATGGTGCTTCCCATGGTGCAGGTGCCGGAGACAGCAGGGAACTGGAAAAGAAACAGGTACAGGGTGGGGTTGGGGGAGTTAGGGGGACTGATGGAAAGGGGGACAGATGGCACACACTGGGGAAGAAAGGCAAATGACCAAACCAGTGGAGGGAAAAGAATAAGTTGTTTCCCTAGGTAGAAGGCTGGAACCATTACTCCCCCATAGGACTGGTGAAATCCCTTGCAGGACCCAGTACATAGTGAAGTAAGACTCCCTTGCTCAGAATGATTAAGGATTTCAAGCCAGTGGCAGCAGAGCCTCTGCTAAGCAGAGGAGCCGAGTAAGAGCCCTGCACACCTGAACTGCCAGTGAAGCCATTCCTGTGTCTCCCCTCTCCTGGCCCCTGCTGCAGTCTTCCTCATTCCTCCTACTGCATGGAAGGGTAGAGTCCAGAGGGGTGGGAGACCCTGACCCCAACTCCTTTCCTTTCCCTCCAATCTTCCCTTTAGGTCTGGATTCAGCAGCCCCTACAGATCCAGATCCCAAACCAGCTATCACTCCCGTTATGGCTGAGGGAGTGACACCCTCCCTGGGGTCTGGTGCCTACTTCAGCAGGAAAGCTCGACTCTCATTCCGTCACCAGCTGCATGACATAGCATCAGCCAATGACTCCACCATTTGAAGAAACAACCAAGGGGCTGAACTTCCAGAAGCTCTGGCAACCCTCCTCCCCGTCAAACCTTCAACTTCTCTCAGTGATCCCAGTACCCCTAAGTCCCTCAAGCCTGTCTCATTAAATTGAGTTGTCAGGTATACGTATGTACCTGTGTATTATGCAGGGGCAGGACAGGGTGGTGGGGAGGTAGTAGCCGGGGGTTAAGGCAGTCAGGCCAACAGGAAGTGCAGTGTGGGGTGGGAATGGGAACTAATGAGGAGTAAATAGGACACAGGTGTCCCAGGAGAGCATTTGCTGAAATAACGTTTCAGAGGAGAGTGTGATGGACATTTTGAGCAGCCAGGAGCTAGGCAGGACAGCATATGCAGCTAGGGGGCACATTGACTCGATACAGAGCGAGTGTCCACTCTGGGCCTGGCCTGAGGATGTCAGTGAACCAGGCCAAAGAAGCCTGAGTGGGAGAGAAGCTCCCCAAGCTGAGCATATGCTCTGTGTGTTGGCAGGCTTGGCACCCTCCCCCGAACACCACTCGGAGCACAGATGTTCCTGAGCACAGCCAGGCGTGGCACCCTGCAAAAGGAATTTTCTCTCCTCACTTAATTTACTTTCTAGGAGGCAGAAGTAGACAGAGAACAAGTACAATAGGACATACTGATAAGTGCTACTGTGCAGAAAGTAAAATTAAACAGTGTAATATATAAGAGCAGGTAGAGAAGACTGGAGCTTTATTTTCTTTGTGGGAGGTGGGGGGGTTGGGCCATGCCTGGCTTGCTTAGGGCTTACTCCTGGCTCTGCACTCCGGGATCACTCATGTCAGAGGTGTGTGTGTGTGTGGGGGGGGGACACACGACTATATAGCCTGTCAAAGATTAAACCAAAGTTGGGAGCTGCATGCCAGGCAAGCACCCTATCCACTGTACTACTGCTCCAACACCTTGAGCTTTATTTATTTTTTTGCTTTGTTTTGTGTGACACATGAGATGCTCAAGAGGTTACTCCCGGCTCTATACTCAGGAATCACTCCTGGTGGTTCTCAAGGGACCATATGGGATACAGGGGATTGAACCTGGGTCGGTTATGTGCAGTGCAAGCATCCTACACACTGGACTATCTCTCTGGCTCCTGGAGCTTAATGAAAAAACTATGTTTTGGATCAGATCCAGCAGCACCCAGAAATTACACTTGGCTGTGTTTAGGAGACCCTGCTGTGTTGGGGATCCAACAGGGTTAGGGTTTCATGCAAGGCAAGCACGCAGCTCTTGGAGATTCATTTCAGGTGGTCAGAAAAAGCCTTCTGAGTAGGTGACACTCTTTTTCTTTTTTTTGCATTCTGGGTCACATTTGGCGATGCACAAGGGTAAATCCTGGTTCATACACTCAGAACTACTCCTGGTGGGACCATATGGGATGCTGCTGGGAATCGAACCCGGGTTGGCCGTGTGCATGACAAACACCCTACCTGCTGTGCTATCACTCAGCCACCATGAGTACGTGACACTGGAGTCGAGACTTGAATGATGAATCCCTATGTGAAAACTGAAGAATTATGTGTCCATGTTGATTCAAAAATTAACAAATGTCTCTCTAAGCTGCAGGTTGGCTGGCTATGCATATCTAGGTACAGAACGAAGAGTGTTAAGAGGAATCAGGTGCCTTGATATAGAGGCCTGGGAGAACAGGTTTTGCAGAAAAACCAAAAATTCTGCATTGCCTTTTTTGTTTTGGTTGGGGCCACACCCTGCAGTGCTGAGGGACTGGGGGGAAAACCACACTGGACAGAGGTCAGAGGACCATGCGGTGCCAGGAACCAAACCAGGGTCACTGAATTCAAGGCAACTAACCCCTGTGCCATTGTCAGCCTATATTGGCCGTTTTAAGTTGGGGTGCACATTTGTCAGAGATTTCTTCTTCACTTAGGCTAGGATCTCCCATGTCTCAAAAAGCCTGCCTTCTAGCCTCTGAAACCCAAGAGTACAGAACCATATTCTAGAACCAAGTTTTCTAATGTGGCTTCTAGAGTTTCCTGACCCATAATGTGGAGAAGATTGGGTGAAAAGTGGTTGGAGAGATAGTACAAGAGCTAAGGCCCTTGCTATATGCGCTGCTGACCCTGGACAGATCCCCAACACTATACACGTCCCCCAAACACTGCTAAGAGCCAGTGTTTGAGACAGAGCCAGGAGTAAGCCCTGAGCATGGCTGGGTGAGGCCAAAAATTAAAAAGAAAAAGAAAAAAAAGAAAACTAAGATCGTCCATCTGGGGAGATAGTTCAAGTGGTAAATACATGGTCCTGGGTTTGATTCCAAGTACAGCAAAGTCTCCCAATTACCACTGGGTATAGATCTAGTAGTTCTTGAGGTTCTTGTGACTGAGCACTGCTGGACACTGTCAGGTCTACACTGTTGGGATGAGCAATGCTGGGAGTGGCCTCTGGGAATCCCAGCACCACCGGGTGTGTATTTATTTGGTGGGGTGGGGATCATCTTTTAGACTACACCTGGCAGTGCTCAGGGTTTACTCCTGGCTTTGTGTTCAGAGATAACTCCTTGTGGACTTAAGGAACCATATGGGGTGCCAGGATCAAACCTCTTTCCCAGGACATCACCTACTGGAAAAAGAGAATAAATGATGGCCACTGAAGTAAAAAGATGGCTCAGAGGACTGGAATGCACGCTCTGTGTATGAGCACCTTGGGGTCAATCCCAACAGCACATGGGCTCCCAATTACTGCCGTGTTTGACTCCCCAGCACCCTCACAATACAAAAGAGCAAATCAAACGCTGGTCACTATTAGTGGAATTTCTATAGGCCCCTGACTTGAGAGGGGACGGCACTGGAGAGGCCAGAGTCCACATTCAGCTTCCCATCCACAGGCTGAAGGCTGACTTACATCACACTCCGCATAGCAATACTGGTTTACAACACTTTTTGTAGCTCTAATCAACACATCTTCAACTAGTTTATAAATAACACTGACCTTCTTCCAAAAGCCAAAAATGTCTCACCATTTTTCGCTAAAAGGCAAGGGACTAGTCAGATAGTACTGCAGGTAAGGTGCTTGCCTAGCATGCATTCAACCCAGATTTGATCCCATCACTACAAATGGTCTCCTGAGTATACCAGGAGTGACCCCTGAGCAGAGTCAGGAAGAAGCCCCGAGCACAGCCAGGAGTAAGTGAAAAACGAAAACCAGTGAAAGGCGAGTCTAGAGAAACGAGACCATAAGCCTGAGCTGGAGCTCTCGAGTCTTTCTGGCCTTAGAACCACAAATCACCTATCATGAAAGGCAGAAAGCAGGTTCAGGGGAAGTTAACCTGGTATTGGCAAGACTCTATGTTCCACCTTAAGCCTGAATAGGAAGAGAAGGGAGTCACTTATTGATAGCACCCACGTCAATCAATCACTCTGATGTCTTAAGATCTAGAGGAAAGAAGGGTAGAGGAGGGGATGGAGAGATAGAACAACAGGCAAAGTATTTCCTTGCATGCGCCAACCTGGGTCTAATCCCTGGCACCCTATGTGGTCCCTTTACCACCGCCAGGCTTAAGCCCTGAGCATAGCCAGGTGAGATCTCAAAACAAAACAAAACAATACAAAAAGAAGGGCGTAAGGTGGGGATGGGGGTGATTTGGAGAAAGAAGTTCAAAAAGCATCTTTGTGGGGCTGGAGCAATAGCACAGCGGGTAGGGCATTTGCTTGGCGTGTGGCCGACCCGGGTTCGATTCCCAGCATCCCATATGGTCCTCTGAATAATTCCTGAGTGCGGAGTCAGGAGTAACCCCTGTGCATCGCCAGATCGCCAGGTGTGACCCAAAAGAAAAAAAAAAAAAAAAACCCAGAAAAACAAAAACCATCTTTACAAAGGTATGTGCCCAACTTCCTCAGAACTCTGAGCAGCGATAAACAGAAAGAAAGGGGTCCAGACAAATTTAGGCATGAGGTCAAGAGACCAAACCCAAAGCACACAGGTTTCCTTTACCACGCTTTATTGAATTTTGCATCACCATAGGTGTCTCTTATTGTATCCTGGATTTAGGGAGGTGGCAAAGTGGCACTGGCAAACTTGGGGATCTGATTTCCCAAAAGTACCTGCCGCTCTACCCCTGATTCTGCAATGGCTGCCAGGCGGATCACTCCTCCACTGGAGCCATCCCTCTCCATGGCCAAAGCGAGAGCTGTGGAAAAAAAGAAGAGAGTTGCAATTCAACCAGAAGCTGGGATGGCTGCAAGAAATGAGGAACTCTGGCCTAGCTTGGGTCGGGAGGTAGTTCTCACCGTTAGCAGTGAACTGCAAACACTCTTCCTTGGTCATGCCTTCCCGGTAGGTCGCGTCGACATAGCCATAGATGTAGGAGCTCCCAGAGCCCCCAATGGCAAAGGGCTGCTTTACCATCATGCCCCCCATGGGCACTGAATATACCTGAGAGGTGGAAGAAAGATAAAAGTCAGCAATTGTCCCCCTCCCCTGCAACGTATGCACCTTCATCCATCCACTGTGGGATGAGTCTGGGGAGATTTTGTGAGGCACACTGGAATAAGAAAAAGTAAATGGCCTGGGTGAGGAAAATTAAAGCGAAAGCAATGGGAGTTATCTGACCTGCCCTCCTTCTTGGTGATCCCAGCCCGCAATGATGATTCCCGCCATCAGATCTTCTCGGTACCGGTAACACATCTCCTTAAAGAGGCTGGCTGCTGTGTGTACCAAAGGGGGCTCATTCAGCTCAATGCTAGAGGTAGAGGGGAATGAGAACAAAGAGACCATGACCAGGGAGCCAGATTAACTTGGCTTCCCAGCCCCAATTCCTTGGAAGGCGCTTTCCCGCCCTGCCCACAAGCACCTGTGGAAGCCAAGCTGGTAAGTGACCGCATCAGCGACCGCCTGGGTATCAGCCGCGGAGCCTGAGCGGCAGCAGAAAATCCGATCGTGAATAGGGGTCAGCTTGTCAGTCACTCGATTGGCAATGTAGGACCTGCAGGACGGCAAGATGGTGAGCGCCGCCCGGCACCCTCTCCGTCTCCCCGTTACTGACGACTCTCTTGGGGCTCAAAACCGGAAACTCTGGGTCAAAGAGAGAGCTCGCTGGACTGAGGCACGTTTTCCATGCTGGAGCCTGACCCAGACCCTCCATATCCGGCTCGGGTCCCTGCGCCTTGCAGAGCGGGGTCCGAACCACGACGCAGCAGGAATTCCTATTCTCACCCAGACCCACGCGAGCCGAAGAGACTTCAGCGTGCACTTCGCCGAAGGGCGGAAGGAGGGACGGGAAGCCGCAACAAACCTCGTCCCGGGAGCGGAGAGACCACCGGAGAGGAGAGACCACCGTCTCACGGCGGTCTGCGGCAAGTAAGGCGCGAAGGGAAACGGGGGGCGGGGTTCACGCGTCGCGGCAAGGCTTACCCGGTGGTCGTTCTGGAGTCGGCCCCCAGAACCACGCCCCCGTCAAACTGCACCGCCATGATAGTTGTCTGGAAAAGAATCCAAAGGTCGAACCTGCGCTATGCCAGCCCCCGGCCCACACAGACCTGGAGGACCCCCGTGCGGCTCCCAGAGCACGAAGGACGGGGCGCCACGGACGCCATCGAATCTCCCGAGGGCCGCAGCGTCCGCCTCGACTAGACTCCCTCTCCAGACGCCAAGGCCGTTAGCCCCGAGGCCTCGGCCCCAGAACCCACGAACATCCACAGTTACGCGTCCTGACCTCACTTCACCTCCGGGCGCGTCCGCCGCCCCGCAACCCCCCCCCCCCCGTCATCCCGACCCACTGAGCCCCGCATCCCCCGCCGAGTTCCGTCCCGAGCACGTTTCCCGAGTCGCGAGTCGTTCCTCACCCCTGTGGAGACTCCCCGGCTTCCCCAGTCGGGGGAAAGGGCCTGCGGGCCCCAGGCGGGCTCTGCCCCCGCTCCCGGCGCAGCTACCACGGCGGCCGCCATCTTCCTCACCCAGCGCTGCCGTAAGGCGACTGTCGCAAAGCGCTCGGTCACTCTTTCGTCGTGCTGCGCCGCGCTGGACGGCAGGAGGGGGAAGGTGTGTCGGGAAGTTTCTTCAGCGACGTTCCTTGGGAAGGTAGGAGGTCGGAAACGACAGGACAAAACGGTCTGCAGGGTCGACGTCTTCCACCTGCCTGCGTAGCTTAATCTGAGATAGACCTGCTCTGCAGCTGCAGTACCCCGAGCCTCCTAGGGGCTGAGGAAGGAGGATGCATGTTGGGCTTTGCGAGACTCCGAGTCCGATCCCCTGCACCGCCAAACCCAAGTCGAACCAACCAACCGAACAAAAACCCGGAAACAGACCGCCTGCAACCAAGAGATCCTCGGAGATAAGAGTCTCTGAACTAGAATGCAACACGTTAGGGCCGAAAAGATAGTACAGCGAGTAGGGTGCGTTCTTTGAAGGCAGCCAACCTGGGTCTGACCCCTAGCTTTCCGCACGGTCCTCCGAGTCCCGCAGATATGACCCTGTGCATTGCGGGCGTGGCCCCCACGCGACTCACCCCAAAAGAATGAGCACATTGTATTCTCATTTACCGTGTGTGTGTGTGTGTGTGTGTGTGTGTGTGTGTCAGATGAGAGAGAGAGAGAGAAAGGAATTATTCAATCACACATACAGGAAGCTTCTAGACTATGCTCAGGGGTTATTCCTGGCTCTGTACTCAGGAATTACTCATGGTAGTGGCTGGAGGACTATATGGGATGCTGAGGATTGAACCCTTGCCAGCCATGTGCAAGGCAAGCACCTACCCGCTGTTCTGTCTCACCCACCTCAGAAAGACATTATTTTTTAAATTTTGCTAGTGTCTGAATATGTGTAGCTTTATTATTTTTTAATTTATTTTTTAAATTTTAATGAATCACCGTGAGGTACAATTATAGACTTACAAACTTTCATGATTGTATTTCAGTCAAACTCAGAAACACTTTAACATTTAAAAAAAATTATCTTTCTATAGCAGCACCTCATTCTGTCTTCGCACCACCCGTGTATGAGTATTTCAGTTTCTCAGATTCTTGTAATTGCTGTGTGTCTTTTTGTTTTGGGAACACATGGGGATGCAAGAGGGGCATGGGGCTTCTTCAGCAGTCCTGGGGGACCAACTGATATTGGGGATACAGCAGAGGTTCAAAGCATGCAAGACAAGCACCACCCTTTTTAATTGTGATTATATATTTATAGGTGGGATAACACTTGACGATGCTCAGGGTTTGCTCCTGGCTCTGTGCTCAGAATTACTCCTGGCGGTATTCATACTAAAGGTACCATACGGGATGCCAAGGATCAAATCCAGGTCAGCTGTGTGCAAGGCAAATGCCCTTCCTGCTGTCCTATTGCTCTGGCCCAGATTTACAATATTTACAATATTATTTACATATTACAATATGTACTTTCATACATACATCATCCCAATACCACACCCACCCCAAGAGTGACAACTTCCCTTTATTAGTGTCCCAAGGACCCCTTTCTTTTAAAATTTTTTTTATTAGTGAATCACCGTGGGGTATAGTTACAAACTTATGAACTTTCGTGTTTACATTACTGTCATACAATGATCATTTACCCATCCCCCCACCAGTGCCCATTCTCCCCCACCAATGTTCCCAGCATCCCTCCCACTACCCCCACCCCATCCCCCGCCACCCCACCCCACCTCAGCAGCAGGGCATTCCCTTTTATTCTCTCTCCTTTTGGGTGTTGTGGTTTGCAATAGAGATATTGAGTGGCCATTGTGTTCGGTCTATAGTCTACTTTCGGCACGCATCTTTCAACCTGAATGGGTTCTCCCAGCATTCTTTACTTGGTGTTCCCTTCTCTATCTGAGCTGCCTTTTCCCCCAGCATGTGAGGCCGGTTTCCAAGCTGTGAAGCTGACCTCTTGGTCCTTATCTCTACTACTTTTGTGTATCAGTCTCCCATTCTGTTATATTCCACAGATGAGTGCAATCTTTCTATGCCTATCCTTCTCTTTCTGACTCATTTCACTTAACATGATACTTTCCATGTTGATCCACTTATATGCAAACTTCATGACTTTAACTTTTCCAACAGCTGCATAGTATTCCATTGTATAGAAGTACCAAAGTTTCTTTAACCAGTCATCTGTTCTTGGGCACTCAGTTTTTTTCCCAGATTTTGGCTATTTACAACAGTGCAGCAATGAACATATTAAGTGCAGATGTAATTTCTACTATACTTTTTTTGCCTCTCCGGGATATATTCTTAGGAGTGGTATTGCTGGATCAAATGGGAGCTCAATTTCTAATTTTTTGAAAATCGCCAAGGACCCCTTTTATCTGCCCCCATCTCTACTTCAGGTAAGCTCAGTGGTGTAGATCAACCAAGGGAAGCTCCTTAACCCCTGTAATATCTCTTGTGACCCTGTACATCCTTGAAGATGGGGGTGCAGTGGTTGGGTTACCCTGTAGAGCTTACTTTTAGCTCTGTGCTCAGGGACCACTTCTGGCAATCCTGGGGGACCATGAACAGTGCTGAGGATAAAACAGGGGTCGGCTGCATATAAAGCAAGGACCTGTTCCCTATACTATATCTCCAGTCCCTCCTGTGTCTCTTTTAAAAAAATTTCGATCAAATAGATATAGAATGGTCTTTGCTATATGTGGCAAATAAAGAAATATAATAGGAGAACAACAAATGCTCAAGCCAACAGAAACTGAAAGCTGGTCTTCGGTAGGAAGTTCATCACAAGTACACAATGGATGGGTGGGGTCATCAGTAGGACGTGGAGGGGCACTAGGACATGGTTGAGGGAAGTGGACATTCTGGTAGAGGGTATGGTGCTAGAATGTTTTATGCAGAAAGCTTCACCATTAACAGTAAACCACAGTGCTAAAATTTAAAAAAATTAATGTAATAATCCAAACATTCTACTGGGAGTGAAGTTTAGAGGATTTTTCTTTTTTGCTTTTCCCTAATGATTAGTAATGATACATAGATTTTCATATGCTAACTGACTACTCCTTTTGTATGTAGAGGGCACATTGGTATACTCTGAGACTACAGCAGGCATTAGGCACTGGGTGCTAGGGAATGGAAGCTGGGCACCCACTTGTAATAGTACTTTTTTTGGGGGGGGGTCACACCCAGCGATGCTCAGGGATTATTACTCCTGGCTCTGTGCTCAGGAATTACTCCTGGTGGTGTTTGGGGATGCCAGAGATTGAACCCGGGTTGGCCGTGTGCAAGGCAAATGCCCTATCTGCTGTACTATCTCTCCGGCCCCGCAATAATTTTTTTTTTCGCTTTTTGAGTCACACCTGGCGATGCACATGGGGTTACTTCTGGCTCTGCACTCAGGAGCTACTTCTTGGCGGTGCTCAGGGAACCATATGGGATGCTGGGAATTGAACCCGGGTCGGCCGCGTGCAAGGCAAATACCCTACCTCCTGTGCTATCTCTCCAGACCTGTGCAATAATTCTCTAAGTCTTCTAGCTTACCCCACTTTGGAGGGAATGTGAGGGTACGGATCATAAGCATGATGCCCAGGGGCTATTCCTGACTTTGTTCTCAGAGGTTACTCCTGGTAGTGCTTGGAGGACCATATGCAGTGCTGGGGTTAGAATCACAGTTGACTGCAGACAAGGCAAGCACCTTCGTCCTCGTACTACCTCTCTGCCCCCCACTGTTTGATGGAGGGAGGGTGGGAACTGGGCCATACTTGGCGGTGCTCAGGGCTTATTTAGGCCAGGGCTTACTGGCTCTGTACTCAGGGATCATCATTACTGGTGTTATCTGGGAATCTTTGGTGCTGGGGATTAAACAGGGGTTGAACATGTGCAAGGCAAGTGCCTTATTTCCTGTACTATCACTTTGGTTCATTTCTACTTTTATTGGCTTTTTGGGTCACACCGGTGATGCTCAGAGGTTACCCCTAGCTCTGAACTCAGGAATTAGTCCTGGTGGTGCTTGTGACACTGTACTGGATGCCGGAGATCAAACCTGGGTCAGCCACATGCAAGGCGAGTGTCCTACCCACTGTACTATTGCTCTGGTCTCACTTCCACTTTTCTAAAACAATGTGTTATAGGGGTCTCCCTTGCGGTATTGGTAAGCCATTCAGTCAGAGCAGGGACAAAACTCCTTGCCTCTCACATATAAAGGCATACATTCCATTTATCTGAGCTCTTTCTCAGGCCCCTAATTGACTACTTTGTTTTGGCAGGGGAGTTTGGTTCACGTGGTGGTGCTAGGCGCCTCTGTGCTCAGAGTCTCACAAAGTCTCACAATGGAGACGTTACTGGGCCCCCGAGAAAATCGATGAACAACAGGAGGACAGTGACAGTGACAGTGACCAGAGATCATAGAGACAGTTGTCAGGATGGAGCTCAGTGCATGATGAGGCAACAAAGACGAGTTTGTGACCATACTTGCAAGTTAGATGTTTCCTGTGCTTTGAATCCTAACCACTCATATTTACTTTGGAGAAACTTCTATTTAAGTCCTTTCTCCTTTTAAAAATAGGGTTGTTGGCTAAAGAGATAACACTGGGGTTAAGGTGCTGGCCTTGCATGTGACTGACCCCATTTGATACCAGATTCTATTAAAGATTCCCTGAATGCCATCAGAAGTGACCCCTGAGAACAGGGCCAGCAGTAAACCCTGAGGACCTTCAGGTGTGGCCCCCCAAAACAAAAAAAAATTTTTTTTCGAAACAAAAAAATTTTAAACAAAAAAATTAGGTTGCCTTTATTTTTATTGAGTTTTAAAATTTCATATTTTTATATTCTAGATATTAGACATTAAAAAATTTGAAACATTTTTGCATCACAAATTCAAATTTTTTTTGGATGGGCATGTGGCTCAATAATAGAGTCACGTATGACTCTATGCATTTGATCCCCAATACCACAAAAATCAATCAATAAATATAAAAAAGAGGGAGCATTTGGTGGGGGGGGGGTGCAGTAGTGGGACCCAAACCCAGTGTCTC